CATAATCTCACAAAACTGCTCATATTTTTGAAGTTCAGATTTTCGGCTCTTCTACACAGAAAGTGTTAGAGGTCTGTCAACTACTGCCTTTCCTTTTTTTAGCATAAAAGTAAGTGATACGACATGATGCCAGGCTTCATAAACTAAGATTTTTTCAAACTATCGCCGTCGAGAGTTTGGCCTTCAAGCACTTTTTGGAAAAATTATAACGGATAAAGGATTCGGAGTCTTTACAACCTCTTTCACTTCATAGTTGACAAGACTGCTGACTGCATGCGGCCTTTACAGTGGTTTGCGGCCAGCCAATTGCCAAGTCAATGCTTTCGTCCTGCCAGATTACTCTGGTACCCCGCTCCCGAAGTCTGGAGGACTTGGTTGGTCCAAAGCGGGATGGAACATGAGTCCCGATCTGGTCATAGCACCACGACGCCACTCGTTTCTTACGAAATTCGTCTGCACTACCTGTATCTCATTGATCGTCGCTTGTCACTAGTGGGATCCGCGACTTCTTCATTCGTTCCTGCCGCGAGCGATCGTTGATCAATATCTTCTCATTGCATCAGGTATGCGAGGAACGCTCTAAAGGACTTCTTTGAAGGACTTCGTGAACATGTCCGGCTATCGGGTCGGCAATCTTCCTTTTCAGCGTTTGACGTCCAGTGATGTCCAATCCTTTACAGCTCTAGTCCACAACTGTCGTCAATACGCATCACGTGTCCGGCACGTCTGATTTCATTCTGTTCTGCGTATGCGGCAGCACCCCCGATCTTCGATCGTTAACGTGGGGTGGAGCTTCGTATTCTTTCTCTTACTTGCGCAAGTCGGGACATCTTGAAATCAATCTCTCAACAGCGCGTTCGTTGACGCTTACCGATTATGTCCTGCTTCGGTCCACGTTTCCGAAGCGTACGTCAAAGCAGGTGGAATTGAAGATGGGCGCAAAGCCGAGTGTTCTTAGTCTTCTTCACTGCGTCCTTAATAGCCATGTATGCTCGCCATGATGCTCGTTTCCTTCTGCTCATCCGAAACTAACCGTTCATCATGTTGACTTCCCAACCTAAGCAGACGCGGCTAGGGCATTCAGCGATCGTCATTCCATTCAACATGAAAGGAGCATCAAAAAGCCATTCTTTTCTCATAAACATCGTCTTCGTCAGATTTTGAAACTGATTTTTTCACAAACATTGTCAAAATGGGCCAGCATTCATTCCGCTTGCGTAATGCCCGGTGTAATCAGGACTATGTCATCAGCGAATCGAAGGTGGTGTAGTTGCCTTCCGTCGACTTTCACATCCATGTCGTCCCACTCTAGTGTCCGCATGAGTTTTCGAGGGTGCCGCTGAAAAGTTTCGGCGATATCGTGTCGTCTTGTCGTACTCCTTTCTTCACGCGACGGTGATGTCCTTGCAGAATGGTGCGATCTTGGTTGTGAAGTCATTGCACAGCTCATGAATCATCTTGATGTACTAAGTTGAAATACATTGACTGTTCAAAGCATCGATGACAGACTCAGTCTCAACCAAATCTTTTGCCTTTTCCAAGTCTATGAAGATGAGACGGAGCGGCATCCTGTAATCGCGCGATATTTCGATGAGCCTTATTATCTGGTGTGGTCCATAATACTAAATAATTTCCGGCACTCACCTTGCTTGCATGGTTGTCTTTGTCTAATTTATCCATCGATCCCGTTGAGAATAACTCGTGTAAAGAGTTTGTACTCTACAGACAACTGGATGGGGCGACAGTTGCCGATGTCGCAAAGATCTCCCTTCTTGTACAGCAACACGGTCTCAGTGGTCTTCCATTGACTTGGAATCGTGCATTCCGTCAGGTACCGCGTGAAGAGCCTCGCCAGAGTTCTAAGAGATTTTTCAGGTGTTTCGGTTTGATTCTGTCGGGCCCTTCTGTACGGCATTTATTGACATGATAGCTTGTCGAACCTTTGGAAGAAGAACTGATGTGCAACATATCCGTCCATTTTGAGATGGCATGGTGGTAGGTAAACATGACTTGCAAAGAGATCTGAGTAGAATTTGTGACTTTCTCTTTCGACCTTCGAAAAGGTTGTGGTTCCATTAGGGCGGTGTAGTGCGGTCAGTTTGGTTTGAAATTGGCGATGCTTCGGCGGGCACTGCGTATACTTCTTCCGGCCTCCGCGGCGTCAACCATAACTTCTGCTTTTCTTCCTTTGAAAACTTTTTTCATCGCCTCTCTGAATTTGTTTGTGAACTCAGACGTAAATTGATAATTGCGTGGCTCTGCTCGTCCACTTTGGCGTATTAGCTCTAAAGCCTTTATTGACAGACGCTTCCTCGTAATTCTTGTTCTCACCTTCCTCAGCATAGCCTTGATGCTGGACAAACCTTTCGTACTCTTCGTCGATGTTTTCTATCACGGTATCTCGCCAAAAGGCCGGATATCGAAGAAAATAGGTTCCAAATGGTAGTAATTGTGGGACGGTGTTTTCGAACTCACTGGCTCTTTCCCCATTCCGTGGAAACAGATGGCACAAAGGAGACGATGGTTCGGATCCCGTGTAGAATTTCGGAACGACAGCGACGTCCGTCAAACAATACCTTCCATTGACGATAATGTGATTATGGTACTCTCCACCAGGCGATTCCCAGGTCCAGCGTCGGGAAGAGACTTTCAGATTGCGAGTTTCCATGGATGGACCTCGTCATCATGATGCACTCGGACAGTTTCTCCCTTTGTTTGTCTCACTGTAATCCATGTGTCCCGATGTGAAGCTCTGCAGGCGACCTTCTTGCTCCAATCTTCGCGTTGAAGTCACCGACGATGACCACATAGAAGGTGTGCCTTCTCTGTAAAACATCTCCAAGTTCATGTAGAAGGCCTCGACTTCGTCATCCTCGTAGCTCGATGTTGGAGCGTACGCTATGAAGACCGCTAAGGCTGGGATTGATCGACATCGTGATACTCGTAAACGTCCGGCCCGAAATATGAGTTGTTTTAATAAGTTGATGCTCACGATTAGGGCCAAACTCGTATTGACAACGCGTAGACTCGTGTGGACTCCTACGCTGTCGACTCCCACCTGTCACATGTTACTAAGAACAGTTCTTTCCCTATCAAACGTGGCGTTCAGCGGTGGTACCTCCTTGTCTTTATCAGTCCGATGACGTCGTCCTTGATCTTCTTTGCCTACATCAAGAGATCGTTGATGTATGCATTCGAGCGAATGCACGTACGTTGTAAGTACATATCGTCATCATCGTCTCTCGTTTTCGGCAGCCTAGATCGCCCTTCAAACCTTGTCCCTACCGGCGCTGCCTTACCTGCAGCTCCTCCAAGATTAAGGGAGCTTTCCATTATATCACTTACAGTCGAGTTATTTCTTGATTATGTGTGTTATTGCACACACTGTCCACCTTTGGCTCCCCATCCTGGATTCACAATCGCAGAAATAAGAAACTGACCAATTTATTCCTCGCATCAGCTTGTGGAGATGGATACTTAGAAAGTAAACAAAACATAAAGAAAACACCGCTAACACTCACCTGAAGGAGTGCCTAATCCTAGAATCCAGGATGGGGACGCCAAAGGTGGAATAAGTGCGTGCACTAACACACATGATAATATGAAATGATTGACTGTATTTAACGATCGAATTACTCGCAGAAGCAGCTTGTTGGGCTCAAATCTTCCGCGAAGGACGGTCGATGCTTATTTGTCAGAGGTGACTCCGAGCTCTCTCTCCTATCTCTGACCGGAAATAGGTATGCAAGCTTTTGGCGGAGGTGGGAAGTTCTTCCCCCCCCCCCTCTTCCGGCTCCCCGCTTGCTTTTCAGAGCAGGCCGGGGCCGCTCTAGGTCGGATTAGCCCCCTGTCCGCCACCTGGAGACGCCTCAGGTAGCCTCGCGACTGATCGGCTGAGATTACTCTGAGAAGGAGATCTGTGGCCTCGAAGAAATTGTACAAAAAGTAAATACGAGAGGAAAGTAGGAATTACCTGTACTATACAATATAATATAAATAATTGATAACTGCTATTCTGAACCATAGGTGGTAGTGCAAATATTTTGGTCAGTGTCGAGAAAGTTAGGGAAATGTCACTGTCAACATAGTTCCTACTACAACGTCCACATTCTAAAAGAGCTACATGTAAACGTGTGCGGACATGATTGTGTTAGCGCGCATTCGCATTTTAATAGAAAGGACAGTTTTTAGAAATTCACAAAGTATTTTCAACCTCTCGTATCAAATCCTACACTATGCACATAAAATGGAAATTTTTCGACAAATTTTGAATTTTCTTCAATTTAATTTTTTCTCTCGTTTTTGACATGCTGGTGGCACCAAAATGCTGCCATAAAAAAATAGTGCGAAAATATGTTCTAAAAAATTATGTCAAAGGAAAAGCACAGTTAGACGCAGAGAAAAGAGCCAAAGAAAAAAATGTTAACTTTGAGTACGCTTACAGAGTTGTTGTAAGCTTTTTAGCTTTTTGTGCATTTGTGGCATCAATTATACTGCAGTGTACGCTCTGCCGTGGCCTAAATATAGAGCAACGCTGAAGATTCTGGAAAGCTTTCCGAATTTCTCAGAATTTTACAAAAAACGTGCAACAGAAATTATCCGCCAACCTAATATAATCAGTTCCAAGTTACGGTGAACCACCCATGCTGCCAGACGGAAGTATGCTGCCACCTATTCGCGTAAGCTTTTCATTTTGGAGCAGGTACTGATCTAAATTATACCTGTAATCCTTGACACGAAAAGACTATGCTCTTTATCCCGCTCCAACTTGTCCATGAGCCCAAAATTTAACAGTGACTTGCAGCACCAAATTACGGTGAACCAAATAGACCGCCAGACGGAAGCGTAATGCTACCAATTTTAAAGCTATTTTCATCAAGAAACACGTTTTTCCAACTACATCCGCTACAGCCTTTGAAGTGCAGTCTGTGCTCTTGAATGCCCTAGCAAGCAAATATCTCCCTGCCTTTGCATGTAGAAGCTAACACAATGATTTCCAGCTCCAGATCACGGTGAACCGAACAGGGTGCCAGACGGGAGTCTGATGCCATCAATTCTGCGTAAGTTCTCTCAATCGTGGCCGTAAATAATCTGAACTATACCCCTCAAAGCCTTTAAAATGATAAACCCTGCGCTTTTGAATGACCTTCCAATCAAATATTTTGCTACGGTCTTTGCATGAGCATAAGATCACGATAACTTTTAGCATCAAATTACGGTCAACCAAATACGTTACCAGACGAAAGTATATTGCCGCTATATTCGCGTAAGCTTATTTTCATTTTGGAGCAGTAACTGATCTAAACTACAATGTAACCCTTGAAATGACAAAGATCACGACCTCTATTCTCTCCAACATTCTGCACGAGCTTAGAATCAAATGCAATGACCTTTAGCCCTAGATTACGGTGAACCAACTAACCTGGCAGAAGGAAGTATGATGCCGCCAGTCCTGCGTAAGCTTGTTTTAACCTTGGTGCAAGTTTTGATCTAAACTACACCTGTAATCCTTGCAATGACAAAGACTACGCACTCTGTCGAACTTTAGTCTTCTGCATGAGCTCTGAAGTTAACGCAATGACTTTCAGCGCCAGGTTATGGTGAATCAGATAGGCTGCCAGATGGAAATATATTGCCACCATTTCTGCGTAAGTTATCTCAATCTTGGATAGAAGTAATCTAAACTATGTATACCCGTCAAAGCCTATGAATTGGTAAAGTCCGCACTCTTGAATGACCTGCCAAGCAAATATCTCCCTACCCTTTTCTGCATAAGTTTAGAAGATACACGGTGACTTTCAGCCTCAAATTACGGTAAACCACCCACGCTGCCAGAAGAAAGTATGATGCCGCCAGTCCTGCGTAAGCTTGTTTTCACCTTGGTGCAAATTTTGATCTATACATCTGGTCCCGTAGTAAATCCCCGAAATATGTCGTTATGTAAAGAAGTCGAGGATACGACGTGTCAGACCAAAGGACGTGCTGCTCACGACCATGTTTCGGTCGCCGCAAAAATTACAAGCACACGCGCGATCGAGCTCTCGTTGATCGTCGACGGCGCGCACTGTCACTGCGCTATTGATATCTCTTCCAAAATAGATCAAGGTTGTAGTTAGCGAAGCAGGGTGCAAGATGGAACAATCGCTTGCAACATCTTCCGAGCAAATCGATAAGCAAGCTTTGATGTGTAACATTTTTTAAGTAAATGGTAAAAGTATGCACTGCCTTCACCATACTTTCCAACAAGGATCATAGTAAGGGAACCTCTACGAGTGTAGGGAATAGTGCAGTGCCAGTGCTGGACGTCGCAGCGCAAAAGGTCGTGGGTACGAGCATCATGTAAACCTATTATTTGCAAATTGCTGGCTAGTTAGTTTTTTATATGAATGAACAGAATTTACTAGATTTTGCTAGTGGAGGAAAATGGCAATGCAAAAGATAACATATCATATACAAGTGATCTGAAAATTTGTGAAGCAACCACTACTTTCCTTGCAAACATGAGCTATTCCATTAGCGACGCTAAACTGTTCCCTCCCTCAAATTTAAAGGGAAACACTGAGCGCACAGCTAATAAATAGCAATTTAACAAATATACGTTAAAGGTCTAAGATGGATGAAATGAGGGAACTGAGTCATGCAGAAAGGATTCTATGCACAAATGAGGTGCGATGCGAGAACAATGCGAAAAGATACTTTAAACAGATAAAATACGAGCAAATATTATTCTGATGTAATTTGTAGTCAAAATAACCTCACCTTCTCCAATTTACAAAGAATTTGGGAGCAGATATTCGCAGAATGTAGGGAGTCGTTCGGCGTTTTGACATTTGGGGCGCTTATCAACTGTTTATATCGATTGCTTCTCGCGTGCGTCAAACCTACTGCTGTGTCTACGGTCCTTGCACACAGGACGCGAACTCGGCGTACTCGATTCGATTCGTCAGTTGTTGCGCCTTCCTGCGTCTCCACGCTGGGCCCACTATTTTTATTTCTCTGCCCCTTACGTGACGACGTTCTGCGCTCTGCCCGCGAGGACGAGCACGTCCTGCAGTCGCGACGTCCCGCGATTTCGCCGCGCGGCCGTGATAAGAGATAGGCGCGCGACGAATCGCGGCCGAAACGACACGTGCTGGGTACGTGCGATGTTGCGAACGTCGCGACCCTCACGACGGGGAGATTACTACGGGCCCTGAAACCCTTGAGATGACAAAGACTATGCCCTCTATCAAGCTTCAACCTTCCGCATGAGCTTGAAAGTTGACACAATGACTTTCAGCCCCAGATTACGGTAAACCACACTGGCTGCCAGAAGGAAGTATGACACCGCAAGTTCTGCGTAAGCTTATTGTCATCTTGGTGCAAGTTTTGATCTATACACCTGTAATCCTTGAGATGACAAAGACTATGCCTTCTATCAAGCTTCAGCCTTCTGCATGAGCTTGGAAGTTGACACAATGAGTTTCAGCCCCAAATTACGGTAAACCACACTGGCTGCCAGAAGGAAGTATGACGCCGCCAGTTCTGCGTAAGCTTATTTTCATCTTGGTGCAAGTTTTGGTCTAACAAGGAAAGTTCACTTAGTCCAAGTGGCGATTTGGAAGGAGATCTATACCAATGGATAGAGCTGGAAAAGCTGACCTCAGATATACCTTCGCTATCTGCGATGCGTAGTTTTGAAAAAAAGTTATGAGCTTTTATGAAGCTAAATTTTCGTGCATTGTGAGTTGCAAAATTATGATAATCGCTATACAAAAGTGTGCAAACTCAAGCAAACCACCTAGTAAGCATTGTAGTTCTAATTTGAGTTCGTCCGAACGCTTTCGAATATTTTTTTACCATGTTGTTCATCCACAGGTCGCCTTTTCATTCCTAGATCACACTTCCACTATGTATACAAAAAAGCCCCATAACCTCCATCTAGAAAAACACGTCGCGTGGGAAACTTTTTGGATAGAACGTAAAACGATGTTTTCAAATATATCTTCAATATCTGCGATGCGTTCTACGAGATGGAATTTATGGGCTTTTTTGTGTATATAATGGAAGTGTGATTATCTAGGAAGGAAATGATGGCCTGTGAATAAACAAGTCGGAAAACGCTCGAAATTTGGATGAACTCAAATTGACCTACAATGCTTACTAGGTGTTTGCTTAAGCTTGCACACTTTTGTGTAACGATTATCATGATTTTGCGACTCAAAATGCACGAGAATTTGGCTTCATAAAAGCGCATAACTTTTTAAGAAGTACGCATCGCAGATATAGAAGCTATATCTGAGATCAGCTTTTTAAGCTCTATCTACTGGTATAGCTCCCCTTCCGGATCGCCACTTCGACTAAGTGAACTTTCCTTGTAAGTTTAAACTACACCTGTAATCCGCAGCCTTCTGCGTGAGCTTGCACAACGACTTTCAGCCCCAGATTATGGTGAACCACCCAAGCTGCCAGAAGGAAGTATGATGCCGCCAGTTCTGTGTAAGCTTGTTTCCACCTTGGTGCAAGGCTACACCTGTAATCCTTGAAATTACAAAGACTACGCCCTCTATGAAGCTTCAACCTTCTGCGTGAGCTTGGAAGTTAACACAATGACTTTCAGCCCCAGACTATGATGAACCACCCAGGCTGCCAGAAGGAAGTATGACGCCGCCATATTTGCGTAAGCGTATTTTTATTTTGGCGCAGGTGCTCATCTACACTACACTTGTATCTCTTGAAATTACAAAAAACAACGCCTTCTATTCAGCTTCAGCCTTCTGCATGAGCTTAGTAATTAACACATGACTCTCAGCCTCAGATTACGATGAATCAACTAGGCTGCCAAACGAAAGTATAATTTCACTAAATCTACGTAAGTTATCTCAATCTTGGATATAAGTAATCTAAACTATACCCCCTCAAAGCCTTTGAAAATGATAGTCTGCGCTTTGGGATGACTTAACAACCAACATTTTGTCCCGTCTTTTTGATGAGCTTAAAGTTAACAAAATGACTTTTTTCATAAATTTGGATGTTAACACAATGGCTAGGATGGTAAAGCTGTCTCAGCCGATCTCAGCTGTTGAAAACATCAGTTGAGCCTTCGACGAGTCAGCTATGCAGTAGTTGAGCCATTGACCCATATCAATCATTTTGACCATTTCCAAAGAGCCACATACAACGAGTTGAATCTCGACCTATACCTATCTTCAGGCACTTGTTATCCAATATGAAAGAAGGTTGCTAAACTTGCTAATTGTGCAGTCACTGTTGGTTTCATTGGTTTAGACTTTCTGCACTGTATGAATGGAATGTCTTTTACAATTGAAGAGCACTGCACATTTTAGTACCTGACCATACCAGATTTGTATTGTCATGCAAGTCTTTTCTTCATTTTTCACAAGAGAATTAGTGGAGAAAACTTCGAATCTTTGGTTTAGCCTATTTTAGGTTAATCAATCCCCTGTATGCAAGCTCAAATCTCCGTTTCGCGACAAACTCGCGCGGAGTAGGAGACTATATCTCGCGATGGGCCTCCCGCGCTGGCTGGTACAAACTATATTTTTTGTAAGTGTACGGCTGTGAAGCGTTTTGCAGATGTCCGCGTGGAGCAACCCCTTTCGGCGACTTATAGGGTATAGTGTATGCACGGCCGACTTCCCAAAAGTATCAGGTTGTCCCATAAGTTCCGTCTGTTTTGATTTTCAATCGCAATTAATCATGAACTTCTTGTTTCTACATAGGTTTTAAGGTACAGTTCGATGAAGCAAAGCAAGCTCTACAAGAAGGCTATCTCGCTTTTGCACCAGCTCTGATCCATCTCAAGTTCCAAGGCGAATCTAATAAGACTCGACTGCCCAAAAATCGAGAAAAAATCATAACTTTGTTTGAAAAATCTTACAAAAATTCTAACTTGCTCGCATAAACACTATCCATTTAAGACATTTATATACGCTGTTGCCGTATTTTTTCTTCGGTTAGAAATTAAGAAAACGAAGATTCTTATGTTTTTTGCTAAAGGATGCTGTACTGTTTCCACATAGATAGTTGTATACTACTAGCCTGTAGAAGTACAAATGTAACTTGTCAGCTCCCTACAAGCTTTGGTTCTCGAGAAATACCGAATACAGCTTATGATTTTTTTCCTCGATTTTTTGGGCAGTTAAATCTCTTTATTTTTCTCCTTGAAACTTGAGATGGATTAGAGCTGGTGCAAAAGCGAAATAGCCTTCTTGTAGAGCTTGATCTGCTCTATCGAATGGTACCTTAGAAGCTATCTAGAAACAAGAAGTTATGAATTATTGCGATTGAAAATCAAAACGGACGGAACTTATGGGACAACCTGATACCTTCGCGATGCACTCGCAGCGCATGCATTCAGTGCGCTTCTTACGAAACTTCTTGCTTCCCTTCCTTTTTTCGATTTGTGTCCTATTTTTGTCTTATTTCCTATTTTGGGCATAAGCAACCCACGACAACAACCGGTGACGTGTTTTTGAGTGCCTTAATAGGCTCGAGAGCTTTTATCTTGAATATTCCTCGTTTATTTCCTTGAATTGTTGTTTAAGTAATTTCTAATTGAATATTTTTAGACCTCGGTACAGAACCATCTCCCTCAGATCGCATCTGTAGAGTGTACTAATGCTTCAAGCCAGTATCAATCTTTAAAAACCGTTAGGGCTTCATTTGTACAATACTCATCTAGTCTTTGAAATCTGATTGTCTGGATTCCCTACATGTACAGAAGAGGATCATCACAAAATTGATGCTCTGTTTCTACCAATACTTATTACCACTCATTCATTACTAAATGTTTAAAATTGGATGTAGCGAAAGTTGCACACGCTCTAGTCTTGCATAGGATTTCTAAAGGACGAACTCAGAGTTTTCCATTTCTTATGCACATTCAATGCGAGTCTCAAGATACTTTACTGCTTGCAAGTTAGCGTTGCATTCAATTTATGCAACATACTGTGGCACTTTGAAACAGAGATTGAGCCTGAGTTAACAAGGAAACTCCAACTACGCTCTGCAAATATAAGATGGTTTCAGAATGAGTGTATGGAAACAACTTACAACAAGATGCAGATACTTTTACACCACAATAAGGACACGGCGCACTATGCGGTTTCACTTCTAGATGGACATCTTTTGCTGCTGACAGAGCCAATATCAACACTTTCTCGAGAACCTTCCACTATAGGCGATAGCATAGTTTATCTCAAGCAGGGTTCCAAAATAGAAACATTGTTTCTTTCGTAAGTAACTTTTCCCTTTTTTTCCGATTTTAGCCACTAAAATCTTTGCAAATGCATTCCCAAAAAAACTTTTGTGCAGCCTTTCGGAGACCTAGAAACTTGAAATGCAATTGTTCTTGGAGTATCTTCATTCTCGGAAACTTCAAATGTCATCGTTTATAAACGGCCGAGGAAAGTTTAGAATTAAGGATTCCAGACATCACCTGAAAGTTTGTTAGCCTGTTACCATCCCCCCCCCCCCCACGCTCCTTTTCCCGCCAGGTCGCAAGCAGAACGCAGGTTTGGTTAGAGGCAAGATATACTAACAAGGGATGGATACTTGGTCGAAGTGGCGTTTCCATACAAAATGTATGCTGTCTTGTAGAGCATGGTACGCTGAGTTCAAACATGCTTTCGGTATTTGCAAAGCGCTTTTTGGAGGGGAGTTATGGAAATTTCCAGATGCAAAAATTTGAAAATGCCGCTACAATATAATCATCTACAACCTTAGTCCGTGAGCTCAAATGGGGCCAAGATTATTATCAGGGCATCGTATGGAGTAAAGGCCTTCAATCTAATTAACTCACGTCAGTCATTACTCCTTTCAAGCGCCGGAAAGACCGCAACATCTATTTTTACCACAGCCAGATCATGAATTTATTTATTTTTTATCCTCGCATGTGTCCCGCTTATGCAGGGTCTGCTTTTCTCGTCAGATGTCTCCATGTTATTCTATCCGAGGCAAGGTCTTCGTCTATACCAAGTTCTCGCAGATCGGCCTTGACTCTGTCCATCCACCTCATTTTGGGCCTACCTCTGGGTCTTTGGGACTTGAGTTGCACTGGCGTTCTTCTGTCGCACAGAACTCCTGTTAAGGCTCTCCATTTCATCTATGCTGTGTTCATCCTGCCTGCGACCTCCTCTTGTAAGCCTCCCTTCGCTGAGACGTGACTGCCTAGGTACTTGTATGACGTTGTCTTTTTTAGCTCTTCACCATCGATGCTTATGGTACCAGGAGTTTGCTTCCTTATTTCCATATATTCTGTCTTCCTGGTGTTCAGCTTCAGGCCGTACAACTCTAGCCTGTTCTTTCAGTTTTGTACCTTGTCTTGTAGCTCCTTTCTGGTACTTGCTATCAAGACCACATCGTCTGCGTAGAGAAGTGTCCAAGAAGGTTCACGTCTGAGCAGTTCCATCACGTTCATCACAGTGATGAAGAGCAAGGGAGAGAGAACTGAACCTTGGTGCACTCCAACCTTGAATTGGAATTCTTTCGATTGCCCCGCAGCTGTCACGTGGCTTAGAGCGTTGTGGTAGATCAACGAATGTACTCATCTGGCACCCTGTGTTTCCGTAAGGCCCACCATATGACTTCATGGGGCACCTTATCGAAGGCTTTCTCCAGGTCCAGGAAGGCTGCATGCAATTCCTTCTGCTTCTCTCTATATTTCTCCATCACTATCCGAGCGGAGTGGATTGCGTCAGTTGTGCCTACTCCTTTCACGAATCCGCACTGATTTGGTGACAATTCTATGATATCTCGAAGACGCGTTTCGATTATTCGCTCAAAGATTTTTGGAGTGTGGCTCATCGGATTGGTTGGTAGGATGCGCAATCTGCTATGTCTCCTTTGTTCTTCCATATCGGAATGGTCTTGCGCTGGTGTACCAGTCGTGGCATGCTTTTGCTCCTTATGACTTGATTGAGGAGACTCGTTAGCCATGTGGCTCCGGATTGTCCACATATTTTCCAGTATTCGCTTGGTATGTCGTCTGGACCAGTTGCCTTGCCATTCTTTGTTTTTCTCACAGCCAGCCATACTTCTTCTTCCGTGACTGCCGGTACTGGTCCTTCTATGGGACTAGCTTCTGGGATGGATTTGATGGCGCGGTTTGTGGTAGCCATCTCTTCGAAGTAGGTTCTCCATTTCTCGGTGATGTCCTCTGATTTTCTTAGCGTCCTACCAAGTTTGTCTTTGATATGGAGGAAGTGTTCCATATCTTTTGTGGATTCCGCTCTTCTTCTCGCTAACCGGTATATCTCACGTTCTCCCTCGCGAGACTCTAGTTGATCGTAAAGCTCTTTCATGTATACCTGTTTTGCCTTCTTTACAGAAGCCTTCGCAGCGTGTTTGGCCCGTTAGTATGTCTGGCGATCGTCCTTCGATTTCGTCTTATGCCATCGCTTGTACGCATCCCTCTTCTCCTTTATGACTTTTTGCACGCCGTCATTCCATCACCAGGTTTCTCGATTAATCCTCCTTTTTCCTGGCTTTGTACTTCTCAGGATCATGTGTGCCACTTGGTGGACTCGATCTTTCAAGCTTGCCCAGAATTGCTCTGGGTTCTCTTGCAGGCTTGGTAGAGTTATTGACAGTGTTTGTTTCGCTTGGTTGTTGGTCTTGAGTTTCCACCATTTGATGCGTGCCCTGGTCTCTGTGGCT